CAACTCTGGGATTTCATGGACTGTAGCCCACCAAGCTCCTCTGTCCATGGAATTGTCCAGGCAAGAGGTATTGGAGTGGGTTGCAGTTCCTTCTCAAGGGATCTTCCCAACCCAGGAATCGTACACAGGTCTCCTGCATTGCAGGCAGATTCTTTACCATTGGAGCCACCCAGAAACCCCTTTTTTCCCATTTGAACCCAAATATTATGCTTCTCAGATTATGCAGGTAAAGAATCTACCTATAATGCAGGAGACACAGATTCAGTCCCTGGGTCAGGAAGATCCCCTGGAGGAGGAAATGGCAATCCACTCCAGTGTTCTTGTCTGTAGAATCACATGGACAGAGGAGCCTGGTGGGCTACAGTCCAGGGGTTGTAAAGAATTGGACACAATTGAGCAGCTAAAAATATACATTACTTGATAAACAGGACAGAATGATGGATTAAGCAGAAAGTTTCAGTGACATTCATCTAACAACCAGCAGCCAGAACCATATTTACATTTCCTCATTCATAAAAGAATAATTCTATCTACATATGATAGGCAAGGATTTTAGTGATTAAACCCTGAAATAAATATTTTAAATGTAAGATTTTCTAAAATGCTTACTAAGGAGAATTATTTTTCAAAATTGTTTTGAAAAATTCTCAAGCATGAGATTTCCTCCTATTGATGATGCTGTCTCAGTTTAAATGTAGCCAGACTTATTCATAAGTAGAGAGCTATTTAATACTTCACCTGTTTTAATTGCAGAAAAACATTGTTTATCTTCAAAAATAATTCTATTTACATTAACAGAGAATGTCTGAACTACTGTAAAATATCTAGTAAAAAAAAATCTCATAGTGTTTTTTTAGTCTGGGCCTGCTATCTAACATATTGACAAAACTGTAGTTGTTTAAAGTATATATTCTTATTATAAAATTCAGTTAAGAAAGTTGTACTTAATAAGGGAAAGTAGCTTTTACCTCAATATAAAAAAAAGCATCTGAGGCTTTAATAAACTATGGATGTGGGTACATTTTTTAAAAAACTGAAATTGGATGATATTCACCAGCTACTCAGAAACTTGAAAAATTAAATTTCCAGGAGAAGAATCATTTTACACTTTTAAAAAATTGTGACAAAATGAAAGTCTTAAGATGGTGTTCTTTACTGTGGTATTCAGGAAAAAAGAGTTTGAGATGTCGTTCATTGAGGGTAAAGGAGTTGATTCTGAACTGGCATAGGTACTGCTGAGGTTGAAAATTGACTTGTTAAAGTTTATTATATCTCTTTTGCTGTATATTAACAGACAGTACTGGAAAACAATGGACCTTGCTTTGACCTACTGCAAAATTGTTCACCTCTTTCTAGATCTTATTTGTTGTCTTTCTGTCTTTATATTACATTATAATGATTACTCTTACCTCTAGTGAGCTTTTATATGTTTTTCATTCTCTACCAAAAGTAACAATAAGCAAAGAATATTTTTCTAAAGTCAGTGAAAAATTCAAGAAATACCACCTAAGAGAAACTTCTTTACCTCTCCTATTTTAAAAGTTCTTGTCATTAGTTTCAAGATAGTTTTATTTCTATTTTCAAAAATTGAAAAAACACCCACTCAGATTTTCATAGTATGTCTGGGTATTACATGAATTTAGATATACTGTGAGATAACTATGCATTCTGAAAATATTCTGATCAGCCAAAAACTACCAATTACAAGGTAGTTGTTGGTCCCATTTTTGACTTGCATATAATACAAAGATATTTCATTGAACTCAACAATGGAAACTAATAGCCTGACAAATCGGAAAGAAGAGATTGATCTTTTTTTTTTTTTTGGCCCATTTTTTTCTGAGATTTTGGTGCCGTCACTTCTCTTTATTGTATTATCTGGGGCAAAACACCTTAACTCTTTAAAGAGATATTTAAAGAAAAAAGAGTTATTGCTAGCCTAAGTGTCATCTACAAGGTGTGCTGTACACAGCTGAAACTAAGGAAGAATGCCCAGGCATATTAGCAGCATCTTGATAACCACAGAAAAGTAATTTGTTACTTGATACCAGTTATAGAATCAAAAGAGAATGGCTTTGACTGTTGAAGTCAATATTCACTCATCCTTAAGATGCAACTGAAAGTGCTGTCTGCCCCCAACACTTTCACCCTTCTCCTCCCTCTTCCTCTCTGTCCTCCTCTCCTTCTGCAGCCTCTTTGGGACTCCATCATGTACCTTACTTTTTCAGCTTTTTTGGTACAGAAAATATGTCACTTGTGTGCTGTTATATTTATTTACCTTCTCAGGAAACTTACTGTCTAATCTGGATTTCACCTCATTTTGACATAATTGTAGAAGAAACACCTTAGGTTTCTTTTGAGAGGAGGGCAAAATGGAAGGAAGAGGCATATACAGCAGATTTGATTCCTTTCCTTTTCACAACATCACTTTGCTCTACCATCTTTGTAGCCAAAAGAGTTGTTAGTATTTTTTATCACAATATGTTAAAACAGCTCATTTATTCTGAAGCATTTCACTTCATTAACAAAATACCTATACAAATTTCATTATATTTCATTTATCTTGAGTTTCAGAAATTGCTCCCCAAAAAAGGCAGTTTTGAACAATAACCCTCAAATATTTCTTATTTCTCCACATAAGTAAATAGGAATCAAAAGTGGAGGAAAAATAAATGTGTAAACTTAAGCTCTGAAGTGTAGAAATGGAGTTACACTGAAACAGGTTGATTTCTGTTAAAGAGTCTGAGCAGTCAGTGCATCTAATGATAGTCTTATCTTTAAAAATCCCTGCAGTTTCCCAGGGGAGTTGAAACACCAGTGTTCAAAAGCTTCCATTCGAAATTCTTGATATCAGAGTAACACGTTTGGGAAATATGTAGCTTTAACAACCCATTTTAGAGAAGGCAATGGCACCCACTCCAGCACTCTTGCCTGGAAAATCCCATGAGCCTGGTAGGCTGCAGTCCATGGGGTCTGCTAAGAGTCAGACACAACTGAGTGACTTCACTTTCACTTTTCACTTTCACACACTGGAGAAGGAAATGGCAACCCACTCCAGTCTTCTTGCCTGGAGAATCCCAGGGATGGGGGAGCCTGGTGGGCTGCCTTCTATGGGGTCGCACAGAGTCGGACCAAGACTGAAGTGACTTAGCAACAGCAACCCATTTTACAATATAAAGTTACTGATTAGTGATGGAAACAAAAGCATATGAGATATCAAAATAAAAACACAGTTACAGTGTACTGGGTATTACCTACAATGCTAAAAGGAAGCATTATTATGCCCATTTACAAAAGAAGAAATTGACACTTGAAGATTAAATAAGTAAATTGTCTATGGTGACACACCGTTATGGAAGCAGAATTTCAAACCTAAGTTTGTTCCAAGGTTCTAACTCATAACTGCTACACTGAAATTTTGATAATACAAATAGTAGAAAGTTGTCTTTTCTCCCAGGAACCCACCTCATACTCATTTAAGTTCACCATTCATTCATTGAAGAGACATAATTTTAAATTTCTGATGAGAAAACACTGTTTCCCTTACCACACCCTAAAAAATAATAACTCTGTTTGGGAACAGAGAACACTCACCTCCCCTCCCATTCCTAAGTGAGCAATGACCAGAATCCAAATTGTAATAAGACCATCACAACTACACAAACTCCTTTCTAGAAGATTCGAATACTAACTGAAAAGAATTCAGGGGAGACAGAAATCTTTCCTTCCCTTGTGACCACTCTGGCATAAGGAAAAAAAAAACTGTAACCCTGATTTTAGAATGTTAATGAAAGTACTTTCTTGATATTTAGAGCTCTTTTCTAACCAAATCAATATGAAGATATAGGATGATAGTTCTGCCACATGCTATTTCTTTAATTAAAATATGTGTTCTTAACAAAGGTGGATGTACTTTGAGAAATAAACACCAACAATGAACACATAAAATGACTCAATAATTTTTGGTAAATACCATGTAACATGGAATAATTATATACCCTGTGAATTATATAGTACTTATAGTTGACATTATTTAGGAAACCTAAGAAATGAACTTGTAATTTGTACTTATCAGATTTCAATCCAAACAACCAGTTAAGTATCCTGTTATTATTTAGAAGTGTCTTATCTTTAGATACCTGGTCAATAATAGTCATGCAATTAGTTACACATATCACATCCCAAAGCAAAATACATAATATCATTGGGATATCAAGAAACAATTTATTGATTCAACACATTTAAAAATGAAAAACTGAATCTGAATATAGTACTTAATGCATGCATGCAGTCGTCCAATAAGTTTCCCAGTTATCTGCTTGACTGGCTCCTCATTGAAACCCTTCTAAACTCTAGTCAGGTTGTCAGCAAGATTCTCTTTGGACTTCCTTTCTAGAATAGTTCTCATCCCAACCCAAGTTCCTGCACACCCTCTATCATATCGCTCTGTTTTTGCTATCATTGTCACACTTTTCACTCTCTGAAATGATATTATTTGTTTTAAAAATATTTATTTCTCCCCAGTAGACAGTGTTTCTCCCCATAGAAACAGTTTGTTTCTCTTTATAAAAAGTGACACTTTGTCTAATAAATAAATACTTTTTTCTACTATAAAAATGACCATGTCCATTTGCTCAACACTATAATCCCACTTGCTAGACCCACCAGTAACACACTGGGATGTTCATCAATGAATGAATGATTTACTGAGTACCCATTGTGTGCCGGGCAAGTGGTTAAAGTGCAAACCATAGCATGGTCTCTGTCCCAAAAGCACTACATGCCAAGCTACTGAATTAATGCACCATACACTTTCACAGTACTTCCCAAAGCAAATGGTAAAAAAAGAAAAAAAAACTAACCTTGATGTTTAACTCAAATATGCAGTTATCGTCAGTGCTACCATATTTTTGTAACCTGTTTCTACTTACTTTGCTACACAGGAACACACACTGAATTGTTTACCAACTGTTTCTGATCATGCACATTTATTTCCGCAGACAACAACATTAATTGGTCTTTTGAAGACAGCTCGACTCCTTCGTCTTGTGAGAGTGGCCCGAAAACTTGATCGATACTCAGAATATGGGGCTGCAGTTCTAATGCTCTTAATGTGCATATTCGCCCTGATTGCTCACTGGCTGGCTTGCATTTGGTATGCCATTGGGAATGTAGAAAGGCCCTACCTGACTGACAAAATCGGCTGGTTGGATTCCTTAGGACAGCAAATTGGGAAACGTTACAATGACAGTGACTCAAGTTCTGGACCATCCATTAAAGATAAATACGTCACAGCACTTTATTTTACCTTCAGCAGTTTAACAAGTGTGGGATTTGGGAATGTGTCTCCTAACACCAATTCGGAGAAAATCTTTTCGATTTGTGTTATGTTGATTGGCTGTAAGTAGATTTCTCTTTTGTTATCTATTAGGATAAAATAATAGTACAAAATCAATGTCTCTAAAACATTTAGAAGAAGGCAAAGAAAAAATTATAGAAAATTGTAGAGATAATGGGATTAAATATATGGGTATTTTATTTTGTCTAATCTGATTCTCTCTGTGAGGGGAGACACCAAAGATCTTGCATGACCTCAGGAAACTATGAGCATAAAACTAGAGTGATGGGGTCCTTGGGATTCAGGAATTGAGACTTGAAGTCCACTTTTACTGATGCAAAAATGTGTCTGAAATTTATTACTAATGGTTATGTTCTGTAATATTTCAAGCTAAGACCAGATTAGAATAGGAAGGACTTATTTACATTACATAACTAGATATACAGACATTGGTAGATAGATATAGATATCTATCTACTATCTATTAGTAGGGTAAATATCACCCTACTAATTATAATGTAAGCTAATCTTTCATATATACACATATGCACCTATATATGTACATATATATATGTATTTTTCCTTGTCATTTAACTAAAAATTCCTTTGTCTGTGACATTATGGCAAGGACCTAAGTGATTGCCCTTTACCCTAAAATGGATAATGCTATGAGCATCAATTTATAAGTTATATTCTTTGGAATAAGAAAAAAAAACTGTGTAAAACTAAAGATGTTTTAATATTAATTTAAAAAAATCACACTTTGGAACCACTAAAAATAACCTTGTTTATACCAGGCAGCAACTGACAAAAGCATGATGGACTTTTAAAGTCTGAAAAAGTGGATTATCCTTAAGTGCATACAAATTTGAAAATAGATCCAGAGAGTTAATTTTTGAATGTTAATATACTGAGTAAAAAAATGTGCTAGATAAGCTTTATTTATGAAACTTAAATAGATTCATATTAGTATATTGTTTATTGATTCAAACAGTTTAGTGTTCACTGTATTTAAAATTTACTTTTCATATGTATGTTTTGTGTTTTTATATTAGTAAGATTGTATAGGCAAATAGCATTACATTTAAATAACTCTTAAAATATTCTGAAAATTCAGGCTAAGTCTTGCTACAAACCAAAAAGCAGAATTACACTCAGAAGGAAATGGAAGTGGAGCCCTCTGGAAAAAATAGAAAAATTCATTCCAGAGAGACTGAATCTTACAGAACAAACACAGCCCAAACAATTCTGTGATGGCACCTACTAGTAAATACTTCATAGTGTCTATCAATTTTAGTGGCATTGGTTACAAACAAAGAAAAGAAAAAAAGTATGTTTTTAATTATTTATACACAGATATAGAAATATACCTATATGCTCTTTTTAAAAGAAAACAGGACTTGAATCTTGAAACAGAATCTGCAAGGAAGAATTTTTTAAGAGCTGTGACATGCTAAGTTGCTTCAGTCCGTGTCCAGTTCTGTGCGACACTATGAACTGTAGCCCGCCAGGCTCCTCTGTCCATGGGATTCTCCAGGCAAGAATACTGGAGTGGGCTGCTATTCCCTTCTCCAGATCTTCCCCACCCAGAGATCAAACTGTCTTATATGTCTAACCTGCATTGGCCTGCGGGTTCTACACCACTAGCGCCACCTGGGAAGCCCTGTTTAAGAGCACTGAAGTTTAACATGTTCACCCCATAGGAATTAAGTGAGGATTAAGTGAAATGCATGGTACTATTTATCTTTTAAATGAGAGAACTCAGTTCTTTACTTGCTCTGTGGTGGTGGTGGTTTAGTCGCTTGTGACAGCGTGGACTGTAGCCAGCCAGGCTCATCTGTCCTAACGTCTAATCCTTAAATCAGGGAATTACTGCCAGTTTTTCTTCTTCCTTTCTTTGTGTCTTTTTCCTTCCTTTTTTCTTTCTTTTCTTCCTCCCTCCCTCTCTACTTCCCTTCCTTCCTTCCTGTATTTTTGCCTTTTTGAATGTGACATTATGCTATTTCCATTGATTGTTTAGGAAGAATATTTGTTTCCTGCAGAGGAATTCTATCTTTTAAGAAAAAACACTCTAGTTAATTGGGTTGACTAAGATATATCCATATCCCACATAATACCTTTTATTTGAATAACAGACTTCCTTCTACAAAACTTAATCAAAATGGGATTATGTAAAGGTTAGAATCACACAGGAAAAAAGTTTTTACATATTCCTAGAGAATTGGATCATGAGCTATTAGCCATAAAAGGTAATAAGATTGGAAACAGCAATAATAAGCATGCCTTGAAATTTTCATAGCCATTTAATGTATTTGTGTATATCTACACATGATATTTTCATTTACACCCAACTGTATTAAGAAATGATTTAATTTTCTGTATTTAGTTCTATTTTTACACTAAGTACATACCCCTCAAGTATATGAGTGGTTTGATTTAAACCTAAAAACAAAATATAATATCCAAAAGATAAATGTAAAATGTTGTATATATACTACTGCAAGTTAAAGTTGTTATAGTCAGTTATCAAGTTGAATTCTTTTTCCCAAAGCTTCTTTAAAACCAATTTTCATTCTAAAATAAAAATTTTATGCCAAACAAAGTAATCTGCAATCCCTCTTACAGCAATATAATTCAAGGAAACTAAAAATTAAACATTAAAGGCTATCATCTAATTAAATTCAAATAACTCAGATACCTATAGATACAGTTTTTAAAACTTTTATTTGCAAAGACAGTCACCAATTTTGCTGCTGAATGTGTACAGAGAACAGTAACCATAGAATTCTTTTTAAAAATATACACAATTCAAGATGAAAAATAAAAGTGTAAGTGGAATTAAACAAGTGAGAATATAAGTTATGATCACATATTTATATCTATTCTAATATTAATATATAGCATAAGTATATCTTTATTCAAATATTATAAATATACACATTTTATTTTTAAAACCTATAAACCAGTATATAAAGGCAAATGTATTTCATCTCTGATCTGCTTGACAAACATTAGGAGAATTTCTTGTTTTTATAATGTGTAAAAAAAGTAACTGGATTTCTGCTTCTAGCCGTGATGGAGAACTGAAACCTTACAATACTCCTATAACTTCTTTTTTAAATTACAGAAAACAAAGTATATAAGCATTTGGATTTCACCAAAATTAGTAACTTCAGCTTTCCAGAGGACACTGTTAAGAGGAACAAGCAAATGATAGACTAGAAAAAAGTACTCTCAATACTTAGATCTAGAAAAAGACTTTTATTTAGAATATATCAAGCATTCTTACAACTCCATAATAAGAAGACAACTCAATTTTAAAAAATGAGAAAAAGTTTTAAATAGATGTTTCACAAAAGAAGATATGTCAGTGGCCAATAAATACATGGAGAGAGATTATTAGTTGTCATGGAAATGCAATTAATGCTCTATGATGGTTAAAATTTCATCAACAGAAGAGATAAATGAACTTGGTAGAACCATGTGATGCAAATCTACTCATGATAAAAAAAAGAACAAATTGCTGACACATACAAAACAGAATTTAAAAACTAATATGACTGAAAAAGAAGTCAGACATAGATGAATATGGCCATTATGATTCTATTTATATGAAACTCTAGGAAATGCAAATTAATCTGTAATGACATAAAGGAGCTCAGTGATTGTCTAGAGTTAGCCTAGAAAACAAGTGGGCAAGCAGCCAAGGGACACAGTGGAATCTTCTGGGATGATGAAAATGGTCTATATCTTGATTGTGTTAACAGGGGTGTGTACATTTGTCAACTAACTGAGCTGTACATTTAAAACAGATTCATTTTGTTGTATCTAAATTATACATTGTCAAAATTCATCTTTTTAAATTTGCATACTAGGTAGAAAAGCATTTTTATTTGTTTTATCAGCATGTTTCAACTATTACCCAATGACCCTAAATTCATTGGGATTCCCCGGTAGGCTCAGATGGTGAAGAGTCTGCCTGCAATTTGGGAGGCCCAGGTTCGATCCCTGGGTCGGCAAAATCCTCTGGAGAAGGAAATGGCAACCCACTCCTGTATTCTTGCCTGGAAAATCCCATGGATGGAGGAGCCTGGCAGGTTACAGTTCATGGGAGCACAAAGAGTCAGACACGACTGAGCAACATCACTTTCACTTTCTAAATTCATTAGTTTGGTGAGCATCTCAGATTTTGAGTGTGGCGTGCTGATGTTTTAAATTATACCTGTTTTATTTGTATAGTACCTCAAGGTGAAGCAAACCATTTTGGTGAAAGAAGAATTTCCTGTTAAGCAAGGCTAAACAAAATACTGTGTTGAGAGAAATGATTGTATGGTCTGCCAGCTTGCTTTTGATTCATATTTTATGCCAGTTGATGGGCATTAGCTAAATAATGTATACAAAATATCATCATTTTATGCTTTTCTCTTGCTTACCACCTTTAGCTCCATTTGCTTCCTAAAAATATAGAAAAAATCTATGCCTTTATTATAATTTAAAAAGTCATTAGCATAGAATTTCCTTAAAGAAATATATGCTATTCATGTATTCAACGATGTACTTATGATCTAGATTTTGCTGACCTATCAATGAGTAGGAATACCTGTTTATGATCAAACTAATATTTATGATCAAACTAATTTTTATGGCAGTATGGAGATAAAAACACAGTATTTATTAAAAACAAAATAAGAATGTTTTCCCTGACTCTTCTTTGCATAATTATGTGGTTGAAGTAAAATAAATAGTGTTAATTATGGGCCCTCTAATTAAATCAAGTGAAAATCTGTACCAAACCATTTCTTGAGAACATGATAGATTCTTTGGACACTTATCAGCAAGCATAAATATTTCCAACACTAAAGTCAAGCAGAGTAAAATATATTTTTCAGATAAATCTCTTCGAATCATGGTAATCCATTTCAGGCACGTATTGCTAGCTCCCTTCTTAACTGTTCATTTACTCAAATTATGCCCAAGTTTTTGTTTTTTTTTTCTTTTTCATGCCTGTGGAAGATACAACCTAAATAGGTTTGCTATATTAATAAAAATTACTGTCTTTCACAAACCCCAATTCAGCCTTCCTGTAGATTTCCCCAACTTTTCTCCTTTTACATAGATGAAGCACCACTGATTTGTCTGGGATATTCTCTTACTTGGTACATCTATGGTAAACAAGGACCATGCTAACCAAGAGACAGAAATAATATGGAAAAGAAAGCAAATGACCAAGAAGATAAATCATTTTAAAACACAGACTGAATCTGGCCTAAATTTATCTTAAAAATGATTAAGTGGTTTATATAGGCAATGGCTTGTAAAATGTGTTGTGGAAAAAATATGTTGGGTGAATATTGTTGAACAAATACTTCCAGGAGTTGTTGTTGTTTTTCTTTTCCCCCCACCTGCTTGATACATTACAGTTCTATTACCTCCTCTCTAAGTATCTGACATATGCCCAAAGCAAGATGTAGGTCATTGTCATCATGTGACTTTCTGTATAGAATATAGAATTTTTAAAAAATTATTAGAAAATAAACACAAATATAAAAAGAAGGACAAGATATTTAAAGAGCTTATGTTAAATTATAAATATTTTGCCCAGGAAGCTTTAGAAATGGCATTCTAAGTAATGAATGTTAGTTTTCTTTCTTCCCATAGGTGAAAGAACAAAAGAGTATTTTATTTTTCTCTGCAAAAATAAAATTATATTCTGATAGTCTAAACCAAAGATATATTTCTCATATAGAAAGTATAAAAATGAATTTTAATAGATTAAAAGTTACATACAAAGACGCACTCTAAGGGAACTGTGATTTCCTTGAAACAATTTATGGGGACTCCCCTGGTGGTCCAGTGGCTAAAACTCGGGGTTCCCAATGCAGGGGTCCTGGGTTTGATTACTGGTCAGGGAAGTAGATCCCACAGGCCGCAAAGATCCCACATACCACAATGAAGATCTGGCACAGCCAAATAAATGAGTCAATAATTCAAAAAATATTATTCCTTAGCAAATCCAAAATAGTCTAACTAATCTTAAATTTTATAGCAAATTTTTAATATTACAAGGTTAGGCCTGAGGCTGAGGTAGAGTTGTCACAATTTTAAAACTTTTACTCCATTTCCAGAATACAGATCTGTAGTAACCCTATGACGTACCTTCTTATTACATTACAAATAAAATGTTGATTCTAAACATGTTTTATCTCTAGTCAATAGTCTAGATTGGTTACAGGTTGATATTGTAAATGGTCTGAGTTTTTACTTTAATACAGAATCCATGATGAATTGGGGTATTTTTCTTCTCCAGATTTACCATCAAAATTATAAACTTTACAACAGTATTGGCTTAACTACTTTATTCCCCACGGGCCAGTGATAAACCCTCACAAATGGATTGAGATTAAAAAAAGAAGTCTGCATTTTGAGATTCTGACAAGATACAATATCCCCAAGTGCAGTCTTTCCCCCATAACTTTCTTTTTTATCCAATCCAGCACTAATGTATGCAAGCATTTTTGGGAATGTGTCTGCAATTATCCAAAGACTATACTCGGGAACTGCCAGGTACCACATGCAGATGCTGCGAGTAAAAGAATTCATTCGCTTTCACCAAATCCCCAACCCTCTGAGGCAACGGCTTGAAGAATATTTCCAGCACGCATGGACTTACACCAATGGCATTGACATGAACATGGTATGTATTACTGTTTTCCAAAACTGGAGCCCCTCAGGCATTGTAGCTACAGCCAAAATGAAAAAAAAAAAACACAACAGTTTCACCAGCTTTGAACCCCTTGCTTTTGTTTTCCTTTCTCGGATGTTTATTTTCTCCCCTGGAGATAGTCTTTCATCCTCAACTCATGGCATTGCATGGTGCTATATCTAGTTATACTGTGTGGCAAAGGCATAACATGATGCAAACTGATATAACTGTGTGTAGTAGAGCGCCCACTTCTGGTCAGAGAGAGAATTGCTAAGTTAGGACTTGGGCTTTCATCACATGGCCTAGCTGCCAGAGCCCGCAAAATAGATGGATCCATGGGCCTTAAGATATTACAGTATAAAGAATAATAACTATAATGCCTCCAAACAGAAATATTTTTTTTAAATATGACATTTTAAGGATCTGTGGGAGAGGTTAAGGAACTTAAGTATACCATAAACATTTTATAATAGGAAGTTTCATATTTTTGTTAAGGACAATTTTTCTATATTTTAATCAATTAAATATGTGCCCTTTTACTGTATCTGGTTTAACGCATCTTTCCTTTCAAGGGGGAAATATGGATTCCTTCATAACTCTTAAATTCAACATCAACTTTTCATAACCTTCCCTCCTCTATCAATGCTTAAAAATCATTACAACTAATAAAATTAATTGATCTAAAGAGCTCCTTTTATTATTAGGAAAATTACATATATCTTTTTGACCTAGCTATTTGGCTATAGAGATTGATTACTAAAGATAAATTACATGATAAATACAAATTCAATAGCGTATCATAGGCCTATTAAAAAAGGATTAGAATTATGATACCCTCCCATCTAGCTATTCCTCCACTGGGCAAGGATCTTGTTCCTAAGAGATCTTTAGAAAATGACGTCTTTCAAAGTTAGTGACAGCAACAGTATGATACAACTTTTGCATACAGCTTATTCAGTTGAGATTGACATTTTTTTATTTGATCAGCAATAGCCTAACAAAAAAATAAAGGTCCAAAGTTAGCAGTTAAGGTACAGAAAGCATTGCAAATACTGCCCAGTTTGAAATATATATTTACATATGATAAGTTTATCATAGCTGTGCATGATTTATTTGATTGAGAAGTAATGGCATGCCATTATATATTTTTAATTTGAGGAACTATTCAATCAGCACATTTCATACAAAACCATAACTGAATCCCATGAGTTATTTCTAATTATCCCGTATTTACTTGTGAAAATTCATGTGCAAAGTTGATCTCACCAGGGTAACACTTTAATCTCTTAAGAAAGTACCTACAAATTGGTCACTTTTGTTTATTTCCATTCATATTATTGTTTAATGAAGATATCAACATTCAGAAACTACAGGGGATTCTCTAATGCTGGGTTGGCTGAAGCAGTGTCAAGAATCTTTAATCAAAACACATGTCACTCAATTTTGTTGTTCCATTCTGCCAGATTATTTCAATAACAATAGTTAAACATTTATTTATTTTACTTCCCCTCTCCATATTACTCTAGTTTTGTGACCATTTTTTGTGTGATAAAGTCTATTTTGTAAAAACTATTTACCTTTCATTGTTTGACTCTATTACCTATGAATTTGGTTTATATACCACTTGCCTATTTACAATGTACTTATGAAAGATTTATCTCTTTCCTGTCTGCTTCACACCTTAATACATGGAATCACAACACCCACCGGTAAGAACAGGAGGTATTTATATCCAATTTAATTCTCGTGTAAATTGTGGAGAACACCCTTGTGATCTGTCAGGTTTAGAGCTTGTTAAATGATTTCCAATGTTAGTTCTGATCTTTTTTGCATGGTGTAGCAGAGGAAATACAAAGCAAGAAACTGGGGAAGATAACCTGGAAGAGGCCAAGTAGAGAATAGAAATTCTTAACTTGAACAACAACTTGACCTCTAATAATATTTATATAGAGTTCCCCCCCCAACCCACCCACAAAAAGTCACTTATCTACCCCTTCCTCCGCTCTAGTAAAGGTTATGGGTATACGGTTTGCATTAGATAATTGTCATAAAGAAAATGTCATTCTCTTTCATCATCCTCTATTTTCATGATGTAGGTGCTTTTCTTTCCTCTCATCTGCATGCCTGTATTACATGATCCAGGAGTTGTGTGAGCTCTAAACCATGTGCCACTGAGTCTTGCATGTGGTTTTGAGAGCTTGACTTTGCACGAACTTCTTGTTTGTACACAGTGTCTACATTTCTCATCTTGTGACTGCAATGTGAGTAAAAGACCTAAGTGCAACATAACTCTGAAAACTCAGCAAATGGAAGACGCTTGCTAATTAAGCACAATGTATAAAAGAAAGTTGATTAGAAAAAAGCAACCCTACCTTTAGACTATTGAGAGGTTAAAAAAAAAATCTTTTTTTTTCCATGATATAATTTATCATGAAACATTTCAGGCCATTTTTGCTGTTTAACCATGTCCAGATGAAGTACAAGATGTTTATTCACACTCTATTAATTGACTGAAAATTCTTTTTTATAACCCCAAACACTTGATTGCTTGATAAATCACAAAATTTACAAAGAATTAACCTAAAACATGGAACCATATTCCTTATTCCCTGTATTTTTGCTTTTAGTGGAACATCTATTGACAGAATGTTCCAGAACCAAAAGCATCCTGGGAATATTTATGGGCTTCCTCTCAGTTGAGCCAAATGGTTCAGATTGCAAAAGGAAAGCGGTCAGAATAATGAAGCTAGTGAAAGGAAGATGTCTTTTTGTAAATTATGTCAAGTTTAGGATTAGTAAAAAAGAGCTCAGAAATGTCCATAGGTCAAGTCTGAAAAATACTTTTTTTTTCTGCAATACTTTTTCAGATTAGGACTGAAGGTTCCTCAATGGATTTCCCCAAAAAAATCAAAGCTGTCTTATAACCCAATCTGAAACTTTCAGATGTTATCTAACATTGATTTTAGTTACAACACTGCCAACAACTGAAAATCACCTTCCATGTAATTGTAGAATCAAGCCATGCACTTGAAGGAACATGGCTTGAATGAATAAGGACACCAATAACCATGATCTATCCATCATTCTGGTTGGAGAGAAATAAATCATTAATGACAGAAACTACTCCATAATTTAAAATTATATTTGCATGGAAGAAAAGCCTATTTGAACATTCAATGAAAACTGTTACTCCTTACCTAAAAATGGCCCTCTAATAATGCCTGAATAATAGAGAAAAGATATATAGAATAAAAATTAAGAAGACCCAAGTACTAGCTATCAATATGCCACTAATCTTGGACAAGTCACTTAACCTCTCTGTAATTTCATTAAACATGGCATTTTCAAATAGTTCTAAAGCACCAAAACTGCCCTTGCTAAATCTGTGACACAATTATTATGGGAGTTTTTCTGCTTGAGGATGTTGAGTCTAACTTATCTGCTGCACACTCTCTTGCTCCCTCTGAGTCTCCTTTGTGGAACATTTGTTTCTGTGTTGAGTATTATTCAAAAAACCACTGAAGTAAGTGAATGGTAATGTGGGTGGCAGAGAAACCAAAGAGACCATTTCAGGTAAAGACAAGGACAGGAATAGAGGCCCTGTTTTGAGACATCCAAGGCAGAATTAAGGCAGATAATCTAAAAACAATTTCATTTAATTTACTTTAAGAAGAAGGGAGAAAAAAAAAAGAAGGGAGAACAGTTGAGTATTTTAGTCTGGGGTGTTGGTGGAGAAAAATTAGAGAAACAGATATAGAAAGGAGTTGGAATAAGAACCTAAAAAAGAATAAGAAATTCTTTAGCAGCCAGAGAGACAAAGTTTCCTGAAAGAGAGGTAGGAGAAGAAAGAAAAATGATGGTTTTGAGGAATAAAGAAGGCGATTCAATGGCACTCATACGTACCACATGGTCCAGCCCCTTTGGTCAAGCAGAGACTAATTCCTCAGAAAGAAGAAGGTATAGGGTCAGAGGAGAGTTGAACAAGGGAGAATATTTAGAGATTTCAATCAAGAATCAACCTGGTAGGCTAAAATTGCTTAGAATCACAGTGGCACTCTTGCCAGGCAGATTCTTTACCACCAAGCTACCTGGGAAGCCCCACAGTGGGACTCAAGTGACAAAACATACACTTATAATGGACCAAATGAGCAAAGCCAATGAAAAGAGAAAAGAAAAGAATGAAGAATGACATACTGTTACTTCTTGGGGCTGATGTGCTTTCTAAGGACATTTTAATAAAAGTCTGATTTCATTTCTTTCCATGACTCTTTTCCTGCTCCTCTGCTTTCTGATAACTCTGACTACAGACTACTACTACTAACTGCTTGCTGCTACTACTAACTACCATCTATTTAACTAGCAACTACTAACACTAACCTGCATCTACAATGTAACTGCATTCCATCAAAACTATTGTTGCACCCATTCCCTATATTTATTTAAATAACTTCATCTGTGCCAAACTGTCACTTTCAAATATACTCCACTAATGTCCTATTTTAATACACCATAGTGAAATGTAATTTTGAGCTCTTTCAATGTCTAATTCAGCAACTCAGATAAAATAATCCTTGTGACATTAAGCCACATAGGATATAAAGCAAAATTTATAAAATAGCATATCTTGTCTCTACCATAATATTTTTATTACCCTTTACTTTTTTCTAATGATACTTTATATACCGAGGTTGATATATTCAGTGAAAAACTTTGGACTAGTTCATTATAAGGCTACAGTAAAATGACTACAAATATGATGCCTTTCAAGTCTGACTAACCATCCAATGGGCAGAGACCCTGTTACCAAGAAGTCTTCAGGAAATAAAAACACTCATGTTTTAAGATATAAGCAGCATAATACAATTCTTGCATAGGTGAGCCTACAATTTAGATTGATATTTTTATTTGACCAGTAATAGTTTAACAAAAAAAAAAGCATCAGTTCAAAATTAGCAATCAAGGTACAGGGAGCATTACAAATGTCTCCTAAC